TTCGAGATAGTGTGAGGAATGTTTCTAGCTCAGGTGGCTGGTCTTGGTTGTACTGTGTGATCTCAGGTGGTTTGTTTAATCGTGATTAGTCGATTGAAGAACTCTGCTGAGAGAAGATAATTCAATTATGTGCATCTTACTTCGTATGCGTAGATTGCGGGTTTGAGTCCCGTCGGGGTGGAGGCTTTTCAAAAAGGTATGAAGTGATTGGAAAATTCAGTCTGCCAGTCGCTTGCACGTCCACTAGTCCCATGTGGTATGTATTATACTTCACTACAATGAACTAGAGTGGTTTGTCTGACTCACTATTGCTACACGGCCACTGCTTGGTGCGGCAGAATTAAGGTGATGCGATATATAGAATTGTGCGCATATTCTGTCAGGGTTCAATCCTAAGTCATATGGATGTGATTTCGCTACTGATCTTCATGGCCGGGAATCAAACCTAGAAAGTCCACAGGGCGGGCAAGCATTGTATCACTGAAACACCGAAGCGATGACGGTTAGCCAGCCTACTGTTCTCTTCGCTGATTACACACACACGCACACACACACACACACCACTTTACCACTGACATCTTTGTCAACCCTGAACACTCTTCATCCTGGCCGTATTATCAAATTATCCGACGCTCTGCACCCTATGAACATCGACTGGTCTCCCTCCCTCCAGTTAACACCAATATGGTGAGCCGGTGAAGGATGAATACATACAGCGTGCCACACACATCGATGACACTCAGCTCGTCCTCCATGGAGACAGCGAGAGGAATTCCGTCACCGTCTAAGCGGTCGACATGCACTAGAGTTGGAAGTGGCACCGTCATTCCTTGTAATACAACAATACTAGGTATAACATTATAGTGTCCGCAATAGCAAGATTTTCGATGTTATTTATTGATTGAGCCTTTCATGAAATGGTTGCGAAACCATGTGTAGGCAGCTCCTGGCTAGGTACAGTGGTGATGACTGAGTGAATAAACATTTTAGGGAAGCAAGACAGTCTCTGGATTACAGTACGCTAAAAATTGATGTGGCTTATATTCTTCTGTTGTGATCAGCAGATGGATCAGATTGCCTGAAATATACACAGAAAATACGACTCAAACTTTGTGTTCTCCTGTACACGGTTACCGGGCCAGGCCAAATGGCATAACTCATCACGTGAATGCATTGAATCTACAAGACTGGGCAATAATATAGCAGGCCATTCACGTTAGTGCTAAGACTGAACTGACAGAAACCTCTTGCTAAAGACAACCAGAACCAGACCAAGTCATAAAACAATGTTGTTTTCATGGCAATTTTATGAAACCTACAATATAACTTACTCAAGTTGCTTATTTTGTTGTGTATAACAAGGTTGACCTTCAACTTCTAATCATGTCAAAATTTGATCAATGTAAATAATACAACAATCAACATATTATGCTTCATAAGTGTGATATTCTGCTTAACCAATTATTCACTCAAAGGCATAACTCTATTTACGATAAGATTTGTTGACTAAAATACATTTGAAAGTAGGTGACTTCACAGTATTGCTGATATGCGATAATAAGTGTAGGTGAAATGATTACTTGATTGGCTTAAATCATATCACAACAGGACTACTAAAGTTGTAAACTTGGAGTAACAAAAAAATCTACGAAATATACCAATTTATTCATTAACAAGAACAAGGCATGTATCAGCGAAGAAATATTTCTTTTCAACGACTTCATTATCAAGCTGTACAGCAGTCGTATTTACACTGAGTAAAGTGACACATAATTGCACTAAAAAGGGAGTTGCTCAGTCAATATGCAAAATATACAATCAGTGGAGGGGTGGTGGTATTTGTTCAAGTGGAAGAGATAGAAAATGGGTCACTGCGAATAAGGAGGAACGAATTGATAACAAGTGGTGAGATAAGCGACAAGTGTTGTCAAAGAATTGTAAAACGGTGATAACTGAGCTGAAACGTGTAAAATAGGTGAATGAATAAGGAATGAATTGATATCAGAAAGTGAAATATGTATCAAATGTTGTCAATGAAGTGAAAATTGGTGATGATGATGATAATAGAAGAGAAGTATACCAATGAAGTGAACTGAAATTGACAAAATAACAAACGAAAGTGGTTTCACAAAACATTTTGAATGCAAAGTTTCGGTTTTTGTTGATGTATAGCTAATGCTTCAGCTGTGCATAAGTGGTGGAAACGTAAACCTTTGGAGTAGTTCAGTTAAATTTTGTAAATTATTTTGAAAGATGAATCTCAGGGTGCTACCTATCTACTATCTAATAACGGATACCCTAAGAGATTTATTGATAAAAATCTGAAGAAACGAACCACTCCCCATCTCATTACACTCCCTAAGAAAATTTTAACCATGAATCTAGAATTCAAAGGAGACACCACAGCCGAAGTGCTGAACAGTCGTCTGTCAAGATGTATCAATAGTAGCTTCTATGCTGCTAGGCTGAGACTGATATCCTCCAGCCGCCGTCTGATTCGTCAATGCGTGAAGGATAGGCTTCCACTTATGTCCACTTCTATGTATATCTACATGTTCACATGCTCCCGTGGAGCTGACTATATTGGTCGTTGTAAGCGGGCCCTCCGAAAACCTATTGCTCAACACTACCCGGTTTCGCTTACCAGGGGCGAGCAAAGGAAAACGACTTCATCCATATGCGAACACCTTGTTGAATTGGATCACTCAGCACCTCAAGATTCATCCTTCAAAATAATTTACAAAATTTAACTGAACTACTCCAAAGGTTTACGTTTCCACCACTTATGCACAGCTGAAGCATTAGCTATACATCAACAAAAACCGAAACTTTGCATTCAAAAATGTTTTGTGAAACCACTTTCGTTTGTTGATGTTATCAATTTCAGTTCACTTCATTTTGGTATACTTCTCTTCTATTATCATCATCATCCACCAATTTCCACTTCATTGACAACATTTGATACATATTTCACTTTCTGATATCAATTCATTCCTTATTCATTGACGTATTTTACACGTTTCAGCTTAATTATCACCATTTTACAATTCTTTGACAACACTTGTCGCTTATCTCACCACTTGTTATCAATTCGTTCCTCCTTATTCGCAGTGACCCATTTTCTATCTCTTCCACTTGAACAAATACCACCACCCCTCCACTGATTGTATATTTTGCATATTGACTGAGCAACTCCCTTTTTAGTGCAATTATCTGTCACTTTACTCAGTGTAAATACGACTGCTGTACAGCTTGATAATGAAGTCGTTGAAAAGAAATATTTCTTCGCTGATACATGCCTTGTTCTTAGAAAAATTATTTGTTGTCATGATTAACTAGTGGATTTAGATACCAAGTTTTCCAGTAGAAACCATCTTACACATGGATGTATGGTATACAATGTCAATAGAAACGTAGGCTAAACTTCCAATTGAAGCCTTCAATTTTTCCATAGTTATGTGAAGCGGTTCCATATCTCTGAATTGTCTCATCATGGAATGATGTCAGTTGGGAAACCACTGAAAACATAGGAACGCTGAATTGCTAGCCATTTGGTCCTAGTCTCAGACGCTTTAGCAGTAAGCACCCACAAAGTGCCTCCCCGTCGGTCGCGTCAAACATTCACCTAATGAATCACAGTTTAATGGTCCACAGTTCGTAACTTCTGTGATTTCGTGTGACTATCCACTATCCGCTTACCTTCCGACTAGTTGACCCCACAGATCACAACTGTGCATTCCTGAGGAGTCTCACTCCAGGACGAAACAGCCAGTTGTTCAGTCGTCAATGTTTCTCCAAATGATGTCAATCCATGATGAATACAACTTTGGAATAAAGAAAATCACCATAAACTCCAAACTACATTAGAAAAGGAGGACATGACGTGTTATTCTTACCATCCTTGGTCAGTGGAGAAAGACATACAGACAGACAAACAGAAAATGAGGATGAGAAACAAAAGAAAACTCATCTGAATCAAATAATCCAATTCTTTTTGAGATTTTATATCAAAAGAGGAAAAAACAATCCCCACCCCAATTGAAAATAGTAGTTAATACGGAGAAAATTCTTCAAAGAACCACCCCATCAACTGTCTCTCTCTCTTTTGCTACATGCAAAAAATGAAGGATATAATAAGATAGAATTAACGCCCAACTATGATAAACATACACTTTAGTTATACACCGATAAAACACCAGTGCAAGTGAAAACAATTATGTAAAGCATAGTACTCGAAGAAAAACTGTGTAAAGACTTGATGATAGGCAAAAACATTCAAATAATTATAAACATCGCAAGGCGGTAGGAAAAAATACACAGAAAACAAACAATAACAGTTACAAGCGATAGACGATAAATTGGTTATAAGTTACCCATGTGAAGAAATTTATTTAGAAAAATACTGTTACAATATTCCAGTTGAAGATTGAAACATATCAAAAAAGGGTTTATTATACACCACTATGTGTACCAGACAATAATAACAAATTTGAAAGACAATGAATGATCAATCAAACAATTATGAACAATTAACCACTAGTCGCAAGCATAATGGTAGTTGGTGTTACGAAAGAAAAAAAACGATGATGAAGGAGGAGGAGGATAATACAAAGGAGACTCGTAGAAACAGAATGACGGCGGCGGAAGCAAAAAATAAATTGGGAAGGCAAGTAAAGTTGACAGATTTATTCCTTTCTTCAATCATCACCCTATTCGTGAAGAATATACAAATAATAATGACATTATGTCAAAGACTAAAAGTAGAGATTTTCAAAATAGTAAATGGGGAAAAGCAGAAAGTAACTTTTCATCACAACAGAAACACACACACACACATACGCAGGCTCAACTTGTCCTCTGATTTCTCCCTTACTGAAGAGAGAGTTAAGGGATAGAAGATTGTGTGTACATGGACAGAAGAACCACTTTGAGAAAACTGTCGTCAATTATAAAAAACAAGAAAAAAATTAACAGAAAACAATAGAGCATAGTTTGTGGAACTAGAATTCATCATGAATAATTGTGTATCTCATTCTTGATGGAGTTAAGCGTTGAAATACAGAGGCGTGCGGTGTTGTCTACAAAACAAAAAATTGAGTTTACACATAATTCAAGAATCTTAAACAGTGGAAAGGGTAAACTACTTTTTTCCTAATACAAAGTATACTACTGATATGAATATGAGTACCTTAAACTATCAGAACGAAAAAACACTATTCCTAGGTGTGAACATTTGCTTAAGAACATTTATCACGATTGTGTGACCTTTTCACATTTATAAATTATAACCCTAAAGCGTGTGTTGGGAATGCTCATTACATCGATGGAATATATGTGTATACAGAGTAGGCAGAACACTAAATTCCCCGAATAAAAGTGGAGCTTCTAAGGGAGTCACAGGTACATCATGTTGACGAGCACCAGGCAAGACGAAAAGCATGTCCTAGACGCCATTGCTGGCCATCACCAAACAAGTTACAAAAGAAATCGCTAGTGGTTGTTGAAGGCATGAAATAGCTTTAGTTCAATAGATTGATTACAATGTAATGAGGTGATAAATGAATTTCATATGAAAATTTCAGTTGAGTCAAGATTCGAACCAATGGCCAGTAATTCAATCATTTACTCGATCTCTCTCGCGTGCTTTGTCGTTCAGTTTCTTTTGAATCAGTAGACAAGCCTGGACAGCAAGTATGATGCTGAGATACTCACGAAACCTGCACATAAATCTTAGTGACCAAAGAAACGCTTATAATTCACTAACTGTTAAGTCATGTAGTGTAGCTGGTAGACATTCATTTCAAGTCACCCGAATACAGAATGGATCACTACTTCCCAGCGATCACGTTTTCCTGTGTCATCATAAGTGACACAGCTTCATTTCTCACATGCGATAGTAGTCAGCAGTTGAAATCAGGTCGTACCAAAGATAAGTAACGAGTAGATTAGTCACCTGGATGGAATATCACCTTTTTTGAATATCTATCGATTGGCGACTGCAACGTTATCTATCCAAACAAATGTCTACTTATTACCAATTTAAGTAGTGTGAAATAGATGAACAAATTTTCTAGACACTTTATTCACCTACGTACAGCTGAAAGGGATGAGCATTTGTTCAATTTACAGAATGTTTTATAACATAACCTTGAAAACACTCCATGTAAACAAATCGAGCAGTTTCCAATAAATTACTAACCACATTACACTGGAATTCAATTCCACTAGCTAACTCTACTTTGATAACGTTGACTTCTAAGCCCCAGAATAATACACAAACGGTCCTATGGTAACTGGTTACTGGACAGCATTACAGGTGTTGTTGACTCACTTGAGAGAACTACATTTTTGGAGTGATAATAAAGTCAACCGTTTGAAGAGACCACTTTCGAAAAAACCCGATAAAGAGTAACTTTATTGACAAAATTACAGGTAACAGAAAAACATAGACTTCAGTATTCAATGAGATTACTCGAGCAGAACAATACTTTTAGGCTGCTAGGATGTATGATATCTAATCTCTGAACTCCTAAGTACCTAGATATTGCTAACAACATTCAAAAGCCAACAGATTACTTAAATCTCTGCAAGCCTATGGCTATCTGCAAAATCAAGGCCTTTATTATTTCAAAACAAATCGAGCGAGATGTGGGCTGAAAACTAAGGGTTATTAAACAAGCGATTAAAAGTGCATATCAATACTCAGAGCACGCTACTAGTTTATTAAGTTGAATAAATACGGTAGTAGATACAAGCAAACATAGATAATGAAGAAAAACATCAGATATTAACCGCCTACTGAAAACGATTTCAGTAGAATGAGTAAATTTACGAAAAATAAGTTTCGATATAAATCTCCTCGGTTAACTGAACCAAATAGATCGGCTGCAATTGGTATATCGTCTCCTGTGTACGTTGCCTTAATATTGCTAGTATTTTTGTTGTTGATATTGATGATAGTGGCTAGGAGTGGAGTCCAAGACATGTGTTTCGTCCTATTTAAAGACTCCTGAACTAGATGTACCCGCATCCCAGTGAGTGACGCTGTTCCCACGCTAAGGTTTTATTCACTAGGCCTCTAGGGTACGACATTCAAACTTTTGTGCAACAGAAAATTACAAGCAGCAGATAATATCGACTCAAATTTATAACAAAGAATGTAGAAAATGGGGATAAATAATACTTAAATGCTATCTGTAGTTAATTGAAAAAAGCGAATCGTTTTTCTTAACGGCTAACTCACCTTAACAGATTCTTCATTATCTGAAGTTGTAGTCGATGTAAGCACATTAGATCCATAATGGTATTCTAGATGAAGTTTACCAGACTTCAAATCTTCGACAAATTGGTTCAAATATTTAGGATCACTGCATGGCAATAAAAAAAGTTATTATTACTAACACAATCCAATGGCTTAATATATCCATCTGCGTATCTCTACATTGATGTACAAGTTTATATAGTAGGCAATAGGTCACAACTATTGGTGTATGGATCTCTGGTCATTCAAACCTCAATATGTGAGGGCTCGAAACCACGACTCACTTGGTTCAGAAAGTTAAATTTCCAAACCAGTACGCTATAATTTCAAAATGCAACATACATCAAAGATTGAATGTAACCGAGGACTGATATATATATATATATATATATATATAAGGCTTGGTTGGTTGTCACCAACTTATCACGATTTGTGGTGCCGCCACGATATCCGATTGTCTATAAAGGATCGAGTGTACTGCACAGCAGTCCGCTCTGTTCTGCTGTATGGCTGTAAAATATGACCATCAAAGTTAGAAGATATGAGAATGCTTCATATGTTTGACCACTGCTGCCTTCGTAACGTAAGCCGTGTGTCGTGGTGTTACTACGTGAGTAACGCAGAAGTCAGACTTAGAGTTTTAGGCAGGAGAGGTAAGACAGTCGATGCGGTTGTGAACCTTCATCAACTGAGATAGCTGGCTGGGACGTGTGTTACGTATGCCTAACCACCATCTGCCTCGTTGCACAATGCTCACTTAAGTAGGTCAAGGCTGAAAAGGGCTTTGGGGGACCAGACTAAGACATGGTATCACTGTATGAAGTCTTTGGCTGTTGGTTTGAGCCATGTAGGGCGATACAGAATAGTCGGTTGGGGTCCGCAGCATTAGAGAAACCAGTGGTTGAAGAGTATGCGATATGGTTCAAAATGATGGGCAGGTGTATTCACATACATTATTCTCATACTAACCGCTCTGCTTAATCTTATCATCTTCTCATTCTTTCTTCTTCTCTTTTACTACTTCTACTTCCTTTGACCTATTTTTCCTTCTTCATCTTCTATTGTATTCCCATGTTACTTGATGTGTTGATATGAAATGTAGCAACTTGGACCGTTACTCAGTAATGCCTAGTCCTATGCTGATCTTGATGTTGATGAAGCACCCAATATACAGCCAGGGGTCGAACCCAGAACCTTCAGGTTTTTCAGTGATCATATTAACATTGAGCTACTGGATGGGAATCCAAAAGTCTACATTCACATGCTTGTCTAAGTGAGATATAGCAAGATCAACACATATAGTGTACCAAGATCATCTTCAGTAGTTCTTTAAGTGATCTCTGCCCTGAAATCAATGAGTTAATCAAACTTGAAGAACTTCCAAACTCAAATAATAACTAGAAGTTTGCTCTTCTCCTGATTGATTATCTCATGATTTCATAAATCATCACACCTATTAAATAGCAACCTAAATTTGTCAATTTCAGTAAGTCGAACTGACTTCAAAAGGCCTTTGTACTCATAGATCTGAAACCAGTATTTTTAGCATACTACTGACATCAATTTGAAGATCACTAAAAATCTGGGATGGATAGACGTTTGCTTCATCCCTAGTATGAAACATCTCAGAAGTCAGCTAAGCACTCCTGAGGAGTCCCAATACTAGGACGAAACAGCTGTCCAGTGCTCCCAGGTTTCCTTTGTTCCTTCAACTGATGTCAGTCTACGATGAATAACAACTTGAAATAAACAGAAATAGGAAATTATCGATCACTATATCGTAACCCAGTTGCTCAGTGGCAATGAACCTGCCGGGGAACATGAAGGTCCTGCGTTCAGTACTTAGAGCAATTGTAGGTGCAGATTATCACATGATTTCATAAATCAGTTGATCTGTATATCAAACCTGTTTCAGTTCACTTTTCAACTTTCAATCAAAATTAACAACACAACAGTTGTATACTATAAATATGAGCATATTAATAATCATGATCATGACTACTGATGAATTACACATTAAATCATATGAACGTCAATTTATAGTGGAGAGATTAACTCACCTTATTGCTGTTTCAACCGTTCCAGGGAAAACATACATATGAGCAAATGAATCTAGGCATATAAATGGTAAATCAACCTCTGATTTGCCTAAATGTGCTAAAGGATGTGAAAATGTCATCCCATCAGCTGTTACAATATTGATGGTAGCTGAAATAAGAAAAAGGATAAATATGAAAACATAGAAGAAAAATAGAAAACAACATGGCGAAAAAACAACCTCATCACGAAGCATGGTGCCCTGCCACCCCAATAGTACTAAGACAAAACCACTATATCAATACACCCAGGTTTTCGATGATTTTTTAACTGATTTCAGCTGGTGAACATGACTCACCTTGAATCAATCAATCAATTACAAACCTCTAAAGTGACCACCAAAAGAATATTTGAGAATAAGGCAAGGTGTGAATGACAAACTTCACCTTGTGATACCTTCTTTAATTGCGAGTAGACTTCGCATTATTCCATTCCACCTAACTCGTCACACAATGCTGACCGAAGTGTGCTCAAGATGGGAAAAGGTTCAAGGCGGCCATATTAAAACATGAAGTCCTTGACTGTTGGTGTCAACCATCTAAAGCGATTCAAACTAGCCGGTTGGGGTCAGTGGGATAAAAGAAACCAGTGGTTGTTGGAGACTCTAGGTGATCACATGGCTCAGAACCGATGTCAGTGTCGCAGATGTATCCCCACACATATTATTATCTTCATCTTAATGTTATACTGAATCTCACCATTTTCTCATCCTTTCTTTCTCTCTTTTAGTAACTTTATATTTCTTTTGACTACATTTTCTTCTCTTCATCTTCCACTTCACTGACTTTTTTACTTGATGTACTGATATGAGCTGTGGCAATTCCGACCGTTACGTAGTAACGCCTAGTCCTATGTTGTTTGAGATGATTCTAAGCTTGAACTGTGTATTTCAAAAACATGATATTTGAATGATCCCAACTGACTAGTCAAAATGTTGGTGACATGAATGATTTAATCCTTCGACACGGATTGGTACGAATACTCAGTAGTATTTATCCGACTATTTGACCTTATGGTTATCGAATCGAGTAAATTCTAACACCTTCGAGGTAATGAAAAAGGATAGGATAACCAACGTCATCTATATGATGGTTCCTAGCAGTGGGATTTGCAACGCATATTTAGTCCTATTTCAGACTGACCCGTCAGTAAGATGGGTATGCATCCAGAAAGGGTGGTTGTGTTCCCACGAGCATATTCGAATGTACCACACAGAGATTAAAACACCAGGACACTATCCATTAGGCTATTGAGTCAAGAAAATCACCCCTTTTGTAACAGCATCATTCCTTATTTACTGGTTAACATACTAAACCGAATCAATTGGTCTGTCTATAATGACTGACAAGAAATGACAGGCGTCATTACAATAAGTATAAAATAATTGACGGTATTACAGTATTGCAGTTTGTGACAAACATAATCGGATTTAATTTCAGAGATTAATTAATTTTTAGGTTGAAAACCATCATGGACTGAATGATATCAGTTGGAGGAATACTGGAAACCTGAAAGTACTAAAGAGCTGTTTCGTCCTACTATGAGACCCCTCAGCAGTACGCACCAATGACCCTGCCCCACCAGGGGTCGAACTCAGGAGTTTCCGACCCAATGGCTCAGTGGTAACAAGCTGGATACGAAAGCCGAAGGTCCTGGGTTAGATCCCTGGTAGAGCGGGGTCATAGGTGAGCACTGCCGAGAAGTCGCGTCCTAGAACGAAACGGCTGTCCAGCGCTCCCAGATTTCCAATGTTCCTCCAACTGATGCCAGTCAGTCCATGATGAATACCAACTTGTAATTGGATTTGCTTCATTTCAACATCATGGTTGGATTTTCACTAAAAACTATGGGCAGTTTATCCAAAAGTGGTATCAAACGTGAATAAGGAGAGTTTAGGACGTCCCTTAGGTTCCATTGCTAGCCATCAATCCAACAATGACTGAATGTTACACAATAACAAACATGTGTTATATCATAGATGAAGGAACTTGACACCTCAAGTATTTCTCAATACGAACTCCTTGACCGAGCGATGAGTAATTCATACTCTTAATCAAAAAACTCAGTGATAATTAGCTATCAATAGAAAGGGTATGCTCGGATATTAAGTACTCTCTACATATTCGACCTCGTCACAGATGTGATAATTGACACTACCTGAGATACGTCTAAATTTACAAGGGTTATTCGACTATCTCTAAAGGTCATTTGGTCGACTTGGAGGATGCAGACAATATTGTCCTGCTAGGTGAAGAGGCTAACAAAATGCAGGGTCTTCTGAACTGAATGGCTTGAGCAGAAGTCTGAGTACGTTTGACATGCATCTCCCACTTGCCAAATATGAATTGATACTCCAGGACTGATTTGCAACCACTACTCCCAGTTTAACGATAGGGAGTGAAGTGGTAGTATGCGTCGATGACTTCACTTACTTGGGAAGAAGTTACACCAACTCGAAAGAGCTGGTTCCTGACGAAATCTCACTCAGAATACAGGCCTGTTTGGGAATTGCTAACTTGTGTCATCTCAGACTGGCAAGATATCTGACTACCTATTAACGGATGAGTACACTGCGCTGTAGAAGAAATCAAGTGGTTACAGTGTTTTCATTATAGGATTTGTTGGAGTTACCAAGTTAGAAATATTAAGGTCACGCGAAGGGTACTAGGCAGAAAGATAGGTAAGTCGATGATGAGGTTATGAACGTTAAACAACTGAAATGGCTTGAACATTTACTGCATATGCCAAGTCACTATCACTTACGTCAACGTGCTATATCCTAAGGGAAGTTGGATTACAATAGAGTAATTAAAAGACGAAGTTTATCGGAACAATCTGAGTGATTTATCTGCGCAACATACTTCGAACAATCTGATCCCTCTCACTGATTTACTTGTCTCAAGTCAGTATGTATTAAACCGAAGAATAAATGGCACGATACATACAAAAAATTAGATAATATGAATGACTAAAATTAAGAAAGATGAGAACAAACAGGAGGTGATATGGTTGATCCTAATCTTCATAAGAAAGCAAAGTTTACCAAGCAAGGTAGGTGTAGTGTAAGTGAAAATTGTTTTTGTACACATAAAGTTGGTTTAAAAGTGTGTGTGTGTGTATATGGCTATGGTTTCCATCTGACTGTTTCTATATAAAACTCTGAAAGCTGTTTGAACATAAATTTTGTGACCATTTTCGATAAATATCTTTAGTTGAAGGTGAAGAGAGTCGTTTCCCATCAGCGTTTATCATTCACATCAGCCTGATTTATGAGAAAGAGAATAGTAATCATCTGACAATCTTAGGCGTACTACTCAGTCGACGGGAAGTTGATTCAATAAAACGGTTAGTTTACAGAAAGCCTACCTGTTCAGAACAATATCTGAATTCTCGTAGATTTTCTCCAATTCAGTACAACCGAGGTTCTAGTAAAATACCTGTTTAATGGGATCTATTGTATCAGTATATCCGTTGAAGTTTATAAACCCTTGTAGATGTCAAGTAGCACCGAAGCCAACTCAGTACGAGGCTACTAAGAAAAGCGCCTATATCACTCTGTCATACAGAGAGGGGAGCTGAATGGCGTCATTTTGAGATGTAGGCCAACATCAGCCACTAGGGAAACATATTACACGACTAATCATATCATTGTGGAGAAAACGAAAAACATTATTATTATTATTATTATTATTATTATTTGTCCCTTAGGTTCCTAGTGGAAAATACAGCTTCAGTAGCACGTCTATATTCAACTCTCTTCTCTGAAGTCTTCAAAACCTGCCTTCACAACTGCCCACAAGCTTTCATTTCTTCCTCACACCATCTCCTCCATGTCACTCTCACCTCGGACGCCCACTCGATGGTCTGGTCTCGTCTGATGCATGATGTCCCCAGTCGGCCTTCTCAGTGAATGACCAGTCCATCTCCACTTCCTTCTTCTGCATATTTGTTGGGCAATAACTTCTTGATTGGTTCGTTCCCATTTCAGAGTTGCTTGTTGCTTATGCTTATTATTCTGGCCATCTGATTTCATCTCATCTGATCTGTACTGATCTTCAGTATTGAGTGAGCGTAGGTGCCACCTGTTGATGAATGTGTGTAGTTTGTTGGAAATGATTTTTGTAATGTGCTAAGCAAGTTTCTGAAGCATCACAGAGAAGCACTGACTTGATCGACATTAGTGTTTAAAATCGGGATCATGTTGTTTGTGTTGAGTGGAGTGCAGTAGATGTCCACACTGATTTCAGGTTACTGCAGGCCTGTCTTGTTGTCTTTCTGGTGGTGGCTTTGACATGGTGATGTGTGACGCCGCCTGTAGTTGAGACGATGGGATGCTGCCTGTGTAGGTGTAGGTGAGAGAGACAACTTGCTTTCGATTTCTCCTGTTGATGGTGATTGGTGCTTGTTGTTGTTATCGTTGTTGGTTGGGTATCTTCATCACCTCTTTCTTCTCCACATTCACATTTTCCACGTTCCGGTCGTTATTTTGAATCCAGAGCATTTTTTAGTCTCACCAGGATAATGCGGCATAATGTTTTGCTCGGGTGGACAGGAACATGATTTTGCACCAGTTCTCTCAAAGTCTTAGGTTTTTTTTTGGTAGTTTGACAGAGTAGCTCTTCTTCCAATCAATGGGAAGTTACCTTCCCTTCCTTCCAAACCTTCTGCAGTAGTGATGTGAGAATACCCAGTGTTGTCGCTGCATCTGTTTCGAGTGCTTCTGGAGGAATTCCATCCAGTCCTGCTGCTTTCCCGATTTCAAAAACTTTATGGCGTCCAGTACTTTGACTTTTGTCTGAGGGTTTGTGTTCACTGGTAGTTCTGTAGCTGGGTTGCTGGTGGTATTTTTTTGGACGAATTGCAGGTGGTGGTGGTTGATTGGGGAGTTTTTTTGAAGTAGTCGACCCATCGTTTCCTTTGTTTCTCCTCTTTGGTAACTAGCTTTTCTTCACTGTCTTTTTTTGGTTTCATCTGCGTTGATCTCTTTCCAAATAATCTGATTATTTGATATAATGTTGTCTCTCCTACCTGCTTCACTTGTAAATGTGTCATTGTGGAAAAAACACAACATATGCTTCACCAAAAATCTAAACCCTGCATGAATGATTACA